TTGTTAGAAGCCTGTGCATTTCATGTTTTAAAATCAAGTTTGTTGAGGTGTGACTTACAATAAAATGTATGCTTAGGTGTTCAGTTAGAAGAATTTTAGTAAATATATGCAATTTTATAGCCACCACTCCAATCAAAATATAAAACATTTCCATCCTCCATGCAAAGTTCTTTCATATTTCCTTTTGCAATTTACCCCCTCTCCTGACCCTACACCCTTGCAAACACTGATTTGTTTTCTGTCCCTAAAGTTTTACCTTTCCAGAATGTCTTATAAATGGAATCATATAGCATATAGCTTTTTGAGTCTGGCTTCTTTTACTTAGCATGATGCATTTAAGGGACATCCATGTTGTTACAGATTGTCAATAGGTCATTTCTTTTTACTGCTGAGCAATATTCCATGATATGGCTGTATCACAGTTTGTTTAACCATTCACTTGTTCAAGGACAGCAGAGTTGTGTCCAGTTTCTGGCTATTACTAGTAAAGATACTATAAACATTCATGTAGAGCTTTATGTATGACATGTTTTCATTTCTTTTGGGTCAATACCTTGGAGTGGGATTTCTGGTCATTTGGTTAAGTGTATGTTTTGTTTTATAAGAAACTGTGAGACTGTTTTCCATAGTGACTGTGCTATTTTACATTTCCACCAAAAATATGTGAGAGATCCGGTTACTCCGCATCCTTACCAGTACTTGGAATTGTCAGTATGTTTAATTTTAGCCATTCTACTAGGTGTGTCAGGGTTAAATAATTTATTTAGAATAATTTGGATATTTTAAGCAGTGTTTCCCAACTCATCTCTCCATATACTCTCTAAGACTGGATGCTCCTAACTTGCTCAGTCCATCTCCAATTGCACAACCTGAGGTAGATGAATAGTCACTGTTGCTCTTGTTTCTGTTTTTCTTCTTTTTGTTTCTTTTCCTAAGAACATCAGAGCAGAAAAGGAGCTTAGACATAATTTAGTGCAGGGTTTGGCAAATTTTTTCTGTAGAAGTCCAGGTAGTAAATATTTTTGTTTTTGCAAGCCATTCAGTCTCTTTCACAACTTAACTCTGCCATTATAACATGAACGTAGGCATAGACAATTCAGAAAAAAATGGGCATGTTCCAATAAAATTTTATTTATAAAAACAGGCACCCAGCCAGATTTGGCATGTGGACCACAGTTTCCTGACCCCTGGTTTACTCTAACTTCATTTTACAGATGAGAGGACTTAGCTCTGGTTTCATTCTTTCCCCTGATTTACAAATAAAGAAGGCGAGGACCAGGATGTTGGCTTTCACCATAAGAGACATGCTTGAATTGGGTTCAGGATAAGCTTGCCTTATGCATAATTCCTGTTGTAGCAAATGATATTAGATAAAGCTGTTAATATAGGATCTTTCAACAATTTTAACTGCACTAAAACTTTTGAGACATCTTAATATATTACCTTGACTTTTTGAGCCTATTATATCTACTTGACTTTTTGAGCCTATTATATCTCTAGAGCAATGGTCAAACTTGAGTGGCAAGAAATTAAAGGTAATAAAATTTCAAATGAAATAGTTGAAGTGAGAAAAGCACGCCACCCTTTTATTCTTCTTGAAAAGAATTTGTTTCCAATTTTGGAAATGTCCAGATTTATTTATCTCTTGAGATAGCCATTATACATCATATTAACAATCCCATACTTCCCCCCTTTAATGTTAATTCCTGATTGTTTTATTTCGTTAATTGTTCAAATAGATAAAGATTCTTAGTCAAAAACCAAAACTAGGAAAACAGACACTTATGGTTCCAGGCACGCAAATCTAAACATAAGCGTTGGCTGTGAGTACTCAGGGCAAGAACACTGTTTAGAAAAGTCATTGTGTATGTGTTTTTTCCTCCCTTCCAGCAGTGGAAGAAGTATGACATTTATGAGAAGCAAACCAAGGAAGAAACTGACTCTGTAGTGCTGATAGAAAACCTGAAGAAAGCCTCTCAGTGATGGAGATAATTTATTTTTTAACCTTCAACATGACCTTGTGAAGATTCTTCCCATTCTCTATTTGTTATCTGGGGACTTGTTAAATGGATACTGAAACTACTGGACCACTTAAAAACAGACAGCTCATAAGAGCCACAGGTCTTTATGTTGAGTTGTGTACCGGAAAACTAAAAATAATGGGCCCTTTGGAAAGGAGAGTGGAGTCATTTTCATTGAGTTATAAAAGCAGACATCCTTTGTGAAGGCTTCAATCTAAGGGACAAAGCAAAAAGTGATGATAGCAGTAGAATTAATCTTATCAAGAGTCATGACAACTTCCTGAGTGATCTGTGCTTGCTTTGTATTATTTGTGTCAAACAACACCAACAAATTTTATTTGCAGAGGAACTCATTTTGGGTACAAATACTGATGTTGAACTTGAGTTACAAAGAACATCTAACAAACAAAATTGATAAAATCTCTTAGCTATTTTTTGGGATTCCTATTGAGTAATGTTTGTGGCTATTGAAGCTCTTAACAGTCTGGAATCATCATCCCCTTCAACAGCATTATCCTCTGCTTTGAAAGCCTCAGAAATCAGTGTTGGCCATGATGATGACAACTACAGAAAAAGCAGAGGCAGCTTTTTTTACCAAGACCTCTCAAAGCCATTGTAGGCTTTTAAGGGCAGTGGAAGCAGAATGATTCATTGGGTATTAGAGTTTGAACCATGAAATCTCTAATGATGTTTATCTTTTCTTCACCTCTGCTACTCAAATCAAGTATTTACTATATGTCTGGCTTGTGCTACCCCTCCAGGTGTGAGGCACAGACCCTCTCCAAGGGTTTACAATCTACTTGGGACTCCTTGGTTCTTACCACTTTCTTTATCTCCATCAGTCGTTTTACAGACATTTCAATTCCCCAACTCTGACACTGATTTCTCCTTTTGCATTCTCCCTTATTCCCTTCCTTGTAGCCTTTTGACTTTTGTTAGAAATTAGGATATAAATCTCCTCAAAACACCAAGAGGAGCAGGGGGTAATTTGTATCTCAGGTAAAGTGTGAGTAGACTGAGAAACAATGACTAATTCTTGCATGTTTTGTAAATTCTGTGTGAGCCTGCAATTGTTGATGGTTTTCAGCATCTGATGTTTATCTATGCATTTCTAAATAGAGATGAGGTATTATCTTCACTTAGAACTTTGCTGTTTGCTTGAGAAAAAAGAATAATTGAATATTTTTCTCCTTTATTTTTTCTACAAGATGGGCCCTGGGATTCCTATTTTCCCTGCCAAATGATTAATTAAGTAGGTTCTGTGTCTTACATTGATAGCCAGCCATCCAAGGCTCCCTTTATGCTTTTTTTTTTTTTTTTGGCGTATGTTAGGGTTCCATTCTCACCCGTCCCCACAACATATCCATATATATTCCCTGTACTCCTACATCTCCCTAATTTAAAGAAGTATGGGAAATGAGAGGTATCTCCCTCCAACCCCCTCCCCATTTCTCTCCATACACACACAGACTCAGATTACTGATAGGAACTTGAGAACTTTATATCACAAGTTCTCCAAACATTTACCAATTATGTTAATAAGATGATGCTCACTTGCAGTTCCTGCTCTTAGGGGAGGGGAGGGGAGATAAGAAACCCACATTCTCCGCAGGTTTGGGCAAAAGTGGCAACCTGCTTCCATGGCTGTGGAGAAACACTGTGCCCTGGCTTCTCTGAGGAAATTGGGATTCGTGGCAATGGTAGATGTAAAGTGTCTCTTCCCTTTGCTTTTATTTTTGAGGTCAGATTGAGGCTGGGAGACAGGCATATTGGATGTTCCATTTTGTTGTACTGTTCTCTAGAAAGAATATTTCATTCCTGTGTAGGAATGAAATTAATTGCTTTCCAGTCTTTTATAATTCTGGGAAGCAAAACACTTACATGCCTCACCCAAAGCCATTTTTACTATTATCCTATTTAGATGGCAATGAGGAGGATGCTTTGAAATTCCCAAGGAACACTGACACTGACAGTCATGTAGCCTGGGAGTGGGGAAATTGTATTTTGTTCTCATCCTCCTCTTTTAGCTGAGAGACTAAGAGGCATTAAATTATGAGAGTACCTGATTGTTTCATAAATGCTAAAAAGTGACCCCCTTGGTCTTGGGAGCTCTTGGAGACTTCAGTACATCAGTGGGATTCCCATCACCTGTAGAAAACTAGTGGGTTCATTTACTGTTTTAGGTCTAACCCATATGGATTTTTTCCACACATACTTAAGTAAACCCACTGTGAGGATAGTCATTCTTATTCTTTCATTCAGATAAGTTTTTTCTTCATCTGGGCACTGAAGGGATACATGAAACAATGTTAACATTTTTGGTAATGTCTTCACCCAGTGATCATTTTTGTTTAACTTCTTATAGGAAAACTTGAGTTAAATAAATATTGTCTTTTTGTATGTCACCCAAATGGTTTCCTTTGGTCTTACTTGGGGGAAAGTATTACGAGGGGTGGGTGGTGGAGAAAATTGGAGTTAAAAGAATAAACATTGTGAAAAAATTCCAAGGCAGCTATTTTATCTTATAATAGCTTATCATAAGCTTCCCTACTATTCCGGTGTGCCTAATACAGCCTTTGTAAGCAGCACCTAAAGGGATTTAAGTATTTGATAAATTGCAGCTATGTTAATTAATGGAAATGGAGAGCTGGTCCTTTCTAATATTAAGCTAAAATGGAGTGGAATATGCTTACTGTCACGGTATACATGATGTATCTGTGGTATACATGACTGTCATAGTATACATGATGGGGGACCTCTAGTCACAAGGTAATCATATTAGCAGATTAGATTTGAGACTACAAAAATCAGTTTGCAATAGCTGTTCTCTTAAGAGATGGTGATATAGTTTCATATTTTCTATAACTACAGCAAAAGGGTTTGAATGTCATGGAGGGTTTTTCTCATTGGTGTTAAGCTCTGGGAGTGTGTCTTTAGCTAGCCCATATTTGCCAATTACCCTGAATCTTTACAGGATCCAAGCTCTAGGGTGAGGGTGGGGGTGATAATATTGGTCAGGTTTTTTCTGTAACTATCTAGAATTATCCAGGAAGATTCTGGAAATCCATTTCCAGGTAAGTATAGTTGTTCTGTTGTTGTCGTTGCTATTTTAAAATAAGAAACCCCTTTCTGATTTTTAATACATCAACACTGAGTATTATAACAGAAAACATTTAATTGAGGACCCTTGAGGTTATAAATCTGTGTGAGATCTACGGAAAACAAATTCCTGTTGCCACAAATATGTTCACCTCATCTCAGGGGAAAAGGAACCAGAATGATCTAAGCACATTTGCTTTCCAGAGTGATTTACCATTTTGTTGTTTCCATGAACTCCTGTTCTTTTAAAAGTGCAGTTTATGCTCACATGAATAGCATATTATGCTACTAGGGTATTAGTAGTTTTAGAAGGAAGCAAGGGAACAAGAACATTTATTTCAGACTGTTTTCGTTTAAACCCTTATGGTTAGATCAAGTAATAAAGTTTTTTTAAATGCTGTAGCTAAATCTTGGTATGCTGTTACTTTAAGCAAGGGAGGAGTTTTACTGGTATTTGGATGTGCTAGATATTTTTGACATCAATTCCCAAGATGATTTCTTCCTGAAGGTTCTTTGGCCTTTTACTATCTTTCCTAATGGTCACATTTTTAGTTTACTATTAGCATCAGGAAAATATTTCACTGCTAGTTTTCAGCATTTATTGGGTAGACCATTATATAAAAAGAAAATTAATAATTGTTGAGTGTACTGTGCACCAAGTTACATGTGTTATTTCACTTAATCCCTATCTTGGTCCCATGAGATAGGTTACATTATTATCTTCATTTTACAGATGAAGAAACTGAGACATAAAATGATTGAGTTGTGTGTACAAGCTCACGTAGCTAGTAAGCAACTGAGACAAAATTAGAAAACAAATCAGCCTGACTTTAAAGCCTGTATAATATAGCCCGTGATGTATTTATTTGTCCCAAGGAAACAGCTACCTAAAGAAGAAAGATCTTAATTCACATTATTGCCAAGTTGCTTATCAACCGGAAGACTGTTCTGAATTTAAATCATTTAATTGCAAAGTGAGCTTTTTACAGTGGCTTGAGATTCATTTGTGCATTCATTCATCTATGTGCCAGGCAATGTGCTATGTAATCGGAATTTAGAAGCGAATATGGATTGGCTTAATATCAGGTGGTAAATCAAGGAAAGGCTACTTTGTATAGAAGAAAGAAACTTGGTTTTAAAATTTAGCAGTTCCAAATGTACTTGCAGGTAACTCTGTCTGGTTCTGTTTCCCCATTTGTAAAATGAAGATGTTAGACTTAGTGATTTATAATCCCATCCATGATACATAACAGTGGCCATAAGTCGTGGAGCTCATTTGGAAGTGAGAATCTTTGCTATGAACACTAGCTCTAGGCATCTGTAGTCATCAGTGTTCCCATCTGTGAAATGAGGAGGTTGAGCTAGATTAGCTCTATTAATTCTGACATCCAATAAAGGTGATGACTTTTGTTTTACGAATCAAGAAACTATGTTTACTGTCACTTCTTACTCTTGCTACAGGAAGTAGCTAGCTGTTGGCAGTAACTGCCAAAAATAACTAGAGGAGCAGGCCCTTTAATGCAATGGAAAGAATGAAGGTATTGATACATTGGATGAGACCTGTGGTCCACTCAAATCAGGATTTTCACAAGGGCCCAGCCATGGTTGTGCCTAACAAAATATTTCTTAATATGCTTTGCAGATCTTAGGTCGTTTTGTCCAGAAACATAAAAATGGACTATGTATTAATACAGATTGCTTGTATAATGACTACATTTGATATATTACCTTAAGTAGAGTCCATTTGAATTCAGTACTTGTAAATTTGGTTAATAAAATAAAAAAGTTAAAATTGAATTTAACCTTTTTATTTGATCAAAATAATACAGATATGTAATTTTAAAAGTCAAAGGGTATTATAGGGCTTATCATTAAAAAAAGTAGTCCTCTGCCCCACCCCTCCTTACCCCTGATTCCTGCTCCCCAAAAAGATGTCAACACCCTAATTCCTGGAACCTGTGAATATGTAACTACATGGCAAAGGGGACTTTGCAGACATGATTAAGGTTACAGGCCTTAAAATAGGTTTTCCTGGATTATCTGGGGTGGGGGTGCTAATATTGAGCCCTTACAAGCAGAGAAAATTCTTTGGCTGAAAGCAGAAGAGGAAGAGAGACTCAAAGGACAGAAAGTGCTGTCAGCTTGAGGATGCAAGGGGCCATGTGTGGGAAGGAACTGGATGTTGCCAATAACTTGAATGAGACTGGAAGCAGATTCTGCCCCCACAATTTCCGTATAGGAACAAAGGCTGGTGGACACCATGGTTTGGGCCTTATGAGACCCTGAGCAGAATATTCAGCCACATGGTGCTGGACTACTCACCTATGGAAGCATGAGATGATAAATTTGTGTTGTTTTAAACTACTTTTAACATTTTTAGCTGTTTCTTTTGGTATATTTCTTTGCTTCTAAATAATACCCTAATACTTAATCCAATTTCTTTTTTAAAATTTAGGTTTAGAAATGATTTCTAAATTTCTTCTATGGAAGATGAGGAATTAGCTTGCTTGTATGCCCCCCAACACACACATATACACACACACATGAACACATACACTCACATTTGTCTTTCACAAATATAAAAATTGTGGTTAAAATATTTGATATTTGCATTATACCATGTAAATATTGCTCACAGTTGGTCCATGTAGAGTATCATTGATTATATGTCCTTTATTTTGTTTTTTTTTCCAAATTATCTCTTTTTGTTTGATTTGTTTCTTTATGTATCTGTAGTGAGTTCAGCCCCAAACTTTCTGACAAAACGATAGAACTCCACTCAGTATGGTCAAACATATTAGGTAATCTGTGAGTTTCATTTATTTTTCTTGGCGACTGCCCTCTTGGAGTTTGCCACCCTCCCAATCCATTCTGGAATAATTGTTTTCTAGGTCTACCAGTCATCATCCTGGGAATTCCCTTTGCTTCTATTCTGTGTTAGCTTCTGTTTCCTACATCCCAGGTTGTCCTTGGATTATGCCCTGGTTTTGCTGGACCACACCCTTTACTAACTTCCTTAGAAAGGTTGCATGGGAGGTGATTTTAATAAAATCATCCCGTGTCTGAATATATCTTCACACATGATTAAAATTTTCACTAGAGGAAGAATTACTAACTGGAAACAATTTCCTCTCAGAATTCTGACAGCATTATTCCAATGTGTTCTTGCTTCTAGTGTTGCTTTGGAAAAGTCTGATTCCTTATTGATTTCTAATTTTCTGTATGTAACTTTTTTTCTCTGCAAGGTTTTCTCTTGGTCCCTAATGTTTTAAAATTTAATGATATACCTTATTGTGGATCTTCTTGCATTTCCTGGGCTGGGCTTTTGTCAGCCCTTTCAATCTAAAATCTCATCCTTCATTTTTGAGACATTCCCTTATATTATTTATCATATAATATATTCCCTTCTATTTTCTCTATCTCTAGAATTCCTATTAGTTGGATATAAGACATCCTAGACTGATTCTCTAATTTTCATATATTTTTTTCTCCCATGTTCCATTTATTTGTCTTTTGGTTCTACTTTTTGGGAGATTTCTTTAACTTGATCTGTCTGAGCCTCAGTCCTCATCTGTAAAACATTAATAAAAGGACCCACCTCACAGGGTTGTGGTGAGGTGTCGAGGAAATAAAACACGTAAAATGCTTAGCACAGTGAACTTCAATAAATGGTAGCTGTGCTTACCCATACTGTTATTCTGGAACCAATTTCTTCTCCCTTCTCATGTGAAAATGACAATCCTGGTGGTAGCAATATATCTTACTTTTACAATATCATATTATACTGTAATATTCACCTTTGTTGTACTGAATTTGGAATAACATAGCATTTTCCAATTACACTGTTTTCACCCCAAAAAAATTCTATGGTGAAATAAAAAAAAAAATCCAGTTAGCAATATTAACTCTCTTACTCATGCTTCTAAAAACACTTAAAAATCAAAAATGGCTTTGTCTTTTCTTTCTTTCCCTCACCCCTGGGGTAGATGGGAACTGGAAAAATAATGTTGGATACCCACTCCTTGATAGTAAAATAGGTCGTTTGGAGCCCACACTAACTGTTTTCTCAGGATGGGAGTGCAGTATAAATCTTTAACATGTGAGGGTTGCCGTACATTCTGCCATGCAGCCCAAAATAAGGCCGGCCTGTAGCTGGGGGCGCTGAGGAAGCTGATGGACAATTAAACCTCAAGGCCCAGAGGAGGCCCGGATGAGCTGTGAGCTTTGCAGCCAAACGCCACCCTGCCTGCACTTAGGGGCCCCATGGAGACTAGAACTAGAATTACAGAAAAAGAAGGTCCGTAAGTCAGGA